TGCGCACTGGACACAAAAGGAGTGCGCACTGGGCCCTGATTTAGGAGTGCGCACTGGACTCAAATAGGAGTGCGCACTGGACCACCCTGCCATTCGAAAGCGGCAGGATCGGTGGGCTTTGCGTTTGAGGGGCTTAAGCAGCCGCAGCCCGTATCCCGAGGTGGTGGCTCTTGACACTGCCACAGGCTCGGATCTTGACATTGCGAGAATTTCGGCTTTTAAAATTTTCGGACATCCCAAAACCCGAAACCCTGATCCTATACTATATACACTACACAATATACTACACTATATACTACACTATAATATACTATCACATACTATACTGTAGCAGACTAAAACACGAACCGCCGAGCCCCTGAGCCGCTCAAGACCGGCTGGGCGCCCGAAGCCGGCAGGAGAGGTCAAGTTCCGGTCGGATTCCATGGTGGAGGAGGCCCGGGGATCAGCTTAGGCCCCGGTCGTAGTAACGGCGGTGATGACGTTTCTTGATGATGATGATGATGATGATGATGATGATCTTGATGCTGTTTGGTTGTGATGGTGATGATCAGCGTCATCATTGCCATGGTTCTGACTCGTTATGACTGTACCATTACTTGTCTGAGGTTGGATAAGGTTCGTTTGCACAATTGTTGCCTTTGCTGGTGCCTGTTGCCATCTTTGCTGTGTTGCCATGAATGCTGTTATTGCTCTGACTGGAGCCGCTGTCGTGGTTCTTGCTACCAAGTAGGATTTCAATCCTTTTATGATTCTATGGTTCGATCATCATTCGCTTAGCGTCTTCACCTGTGCTTTGCCACTGTGCTTTAGCACAGTTCTTATTTACAAGAGGGAGGCTGTTCATAAGTATCATCGTCATTCCGCTCGCCATTGTCGTAGTGGTCCTTTGGGGGAAGGCCTGTCAAGCTCCGCATCGGTGAGTTCTTCGGAGACCTTCGTTCTTGGGTGTACTGAGGGCGCGCGGGCCTCTCGTTTGGGGCTTGAGGCCCAAAATCTTCGCACATGAACCCTAACAAGTCCTAAACATTTTGGGGCTTGTGTGGGTTTCTCTCATGTGGCTGGTGATCCCAGGTTTTGGGGTTGCCGCGTGTTGCATGCTTCCAAGCACTCATACGCCCAAAAGGGCTACAAGAGAGAGTGTAGAGCCCAAGCAAAAAAACAAAAGTACTGCTCTCTGCGGAGTTCCAAGAAAGACCCTGCCCCACTCATTCGTTCATTCCCTGCTAAAGTCCGCCCAGGAGAACCCTTTGTAGAACCCTGACAGCTACACCAAATTCTTCTTCTTAACCCTAAGCCCTAAACCCGAAACCCTAAACCCTAAACCCCAAACCCTACACCCTACACCCTAAACCCTAAACCCTAAACCCCAAACCCCAAACCCTAAACCCTAAACCCTATTCTTCTTCTTCTTCTGATTGCCAGGTCTGGAGCCTGGAGGTCGCCAGCGAGTTGGGCCTGATCCTTTGCCCGAACGCCCAGGGGAGACAGAGCTTGACTGGGGTTTAGGGCTTTCGGGGTTTAGGGTTTAGGGTTTAGGGCTTTCGGGGTTTAGGGCTTTGGGTGGTAGGACTTTGGGTTTTTGAGGGTTTTTGAGGGTTTTGGGTTTGTTTTGGGTTCAGGGCTTTGGAGCTTTTTGGTGGGGGAGAAAACTGAACGGCTGTTTCGTGGATTTGGGTTTAGGGGTTTCGCTTTTGGGTGTCTTGTTATGAGGAGGGGGGCTGGGTTGCGCATTCCAAACCCAGAATTTCCTGAAGACCTTGACTGTCCAGACCAAGGCCTTAAACTTGGACCGAATCCTGAACCCGAAATTCCGCAAGCCGCAAACATCCGCAAACCATGGAGCCTAAACCCTAACCTCCAGCCCCTCACTCAAGCCCCAACCCTACGTCCCGACACGCCTGAACCCTTACCTCAGGAACTTAATACCCTGACTCTCGCCCTTAACCCCGAACCAAAACCCGTACTGTAACCATTAAACTCCAGAATTCCAGAGCCCTAAACCCTAAACCCTGTAATCCGAAGCCCGAAACCCGATCTGCCAGGCTCAGGCGGTTGGTCTGAGAAGGTGTGCGCACTCCCAGAGGGGGAAGCTGTCTCGTTTCTTCTGACGGACCCTTTGGCTGGGCTCTGCTGAGCGCCATAGGAATCCTTTTTTCAGCTTAGGGTCTTAGGGTTTGGGTTTTAGGGTTT